GTAATAGGTCTCAGGTCTAGAAGAGAACTGAGAACAGAAATGTGGATAAAATAATATTTCCCTGAAGAAGGTGCTCCCTCAGCACCAGCTGCCTTTGCTAGGAAGAAATTGCCAGCTTTTCCTTTGACAAGCCTTCATGATGGAGAGAGAGAAGTGCAGCCACCAAACTTTAGAAAGATAAGGTATCAAGGGAAACACAAGGGGGAGAAAAGAAGGTCAAGTTAAGGAGAAATTATAGACATTGGGAGTATGTAGCTAGGTAGAAGCCAGGTAGATGTTGAGAACTGATTCATGCACCATTTTGTGGTCCAGTTATGTATTTTAGTGGTGAAATACATAGTATTTAAACACTCCAGTGGGATGCTTTAATATCAAATCAGATTTTCCTTTGGTCAGAGTGTAACTAGAGAGAGTGACCACAGCAGCTACAGCTGTGGTCCAGAAGATTCACAAATTAGGTTAGAGAGAAAGCAGGGGGCAAAGAATCGCCAACAGTGGTGAAGGTAGTAGTGGAGGGAGGAGGTGAGAGTGAGGAAAATTTCCTGGTAGGAAATCTCCATCATACACAAAGACGGCTTATCTCCTGCTAACCTATGGGTTCTGTGTCATCTCAGACTGTGACTAATACTTACATAGTTATGCTTGGCTTTATGATTGAAAATAGGCTTCCAAAATTTGTGGGTAAGCTGGATTTTTAAAAGACATTTTTCCTATTGTGATTTGAGAGAGTATTTTTTTCTTTTCTCTTTTTTCCTCATCAGTGTACTATAATATCTGTCTTCTTTCAGGTTATTTCTTTGCAGGTACTCTGACACTACTAGATCTAGCTTAAGTAAAAAAGGAGAAATTTGTTGTTCAAGATAACAAATACAGGAAGTTCCTTTGAGCCTTATAAGGAAGAAGAAACTGAAAAGCTGTGAAGACTCATAGCTGGTGTGTTCGGTCTCTTTTTCTCACTCTCTCTTCTATGTCATTCTTTGCTCCCACAGCAAATCAGCTTTATGTGTAACTCCAAGTACAGAAGTAAAGATGGCAGCCTCACAATGTCAGCCTTAACTTCAGAGCTTGGGTACCTTCACTTCAAGTGAACAGAAAATCTGAGCAACAGTTTTTAAATCCCACTTCCAACTTCCCAACTTCCCCAGAAGGAGACCTTGATTGGCTCAGCTTGAGTTAGGGACAACACATGGTGCAGTCTAGGAGTGTGGGGGCATGGTTACCAACAATAACAGGGGTGGGAGGCTGGCTGCGCTGGGTGAGGGGATAGGTCTCAGGGAGAGAGGGCAGGATCCTTAATCCAAATAAGGACTCAGGAATTAATGCTCATAAGTAAACTAGCAATCATGCCAGGGGAATTTCTATATTGAAGAGTGAATCTTGGCAGGATTCCTTTCACAAAGAAAAATATTTTTAGTGAATTGATACCTATACTGCTGCTTTAAGTTATTTTTTTTTGTGAAGTAGAGCACAATTATAATAAACATTTTGCAAATTTTCCCAATAATTATCTTACCTGAAGGAAGTTATTAATTTCTGGATTTCAAAGGGGAGATCTGTTTATGTTTTCATGAATCAAAGTTAAACTTACCTGGTTATCTTAAGGGAAGGAGGGGCCTATTTGCCAAGAACACATTTTTCCTTGGAACAATATGGATGAGTAGATACTCATCCATTTGGTCAGAAGATTGATGTAGATACTAAAGTGCAGAGTAAGTTCTGGAAAAATTTTTTTTTGCCATATCTAACCAAACTTTGAGATGAATGGCCCTAAAATATTTGAAAGTAAAAAAACCATTGCTTCCTTGTCTGTTTACCTCATTTATACTCCTGCCTTTGCCTTTCAGCTTATTACTAAACCTGGAATAAATCAGCCTCTCTCCATATCTCCTTCCTTTCTGCCTTCAGAAAAATACATCTCTCCTATCCTGGAAAGAAACTACTCCCCCATGTATCCCCAAACCTTTGTTTGAGACTGTTTGCCCTTCCAAGGACTTTCCTATCTTTTTGTAGCTATTGTTCTCACATTTATGCTCCTCTTAAGAATGATGTTTTCATTACTTTATCACTTAACATTTAAAAAAAATTCAAATGCAGGTCTTTGCAATATTCTCTATTATAACTCAGCCCTTAATATTTCCAGCCTACACAGTTCTGTGTAATGCAATATATTGTGACAAATGCTTCAGGATTCCTAATAAAACCCAGTGTATTTCTTATACTTCCCAGCTTGGTAATTTCTGTAAATTGTCCTTACCACAACCATAATAGGCATTTAATAACTGTGCTAAGAGTTGAGAAATACTTTTTCATCTAATCTTAAAACAACTCAAGGAAGATATTATCTACATTGTACTGATGAGGAAATGGAAACTTAGAAAATCTGAGTAAATTCTTTGGTAAAAGCGGTGATTCAAACTTGGGCTGGCCAGACTTTGAAGCTTAAGTTCTTTGATTCTGTGCCATGGATTTTCAACCTTGGTTTTGCATCAAAATCACCTAAGAGAAGGTCAAACACCCACCTCACATACAGTCACAATCTTCTTGCAGGAGTGGGTGTGGGGAGTTGCCATCAAGAACCATTGCTGCTATGTTCTGTGATGGAAGGACAGAATCTCGGCATACCCCTACATAGCAACCCCGTGAAAATTAGCTGCTAATTTTTACTTTTAAATATGGCCATATAGTCAGTTTTAATCTAAATGTGTCATCCAACCCACATTTCTTGTTTCGCCATATTGTGCGAAAGAATGTCGCGAAAGAGTTGGCCATATTTCTTTTCTTGAAATTCTCTTTTATCCTTAGGAAACACTAAGGGAAACTCTGAAATGTTTGCCGTGGGAGCAAATTTCTAGCTATGGCACTATTAGGGATCACATAAAAAGCTAGTAAGTCTCTACAGTGTGAAGAGCTCAACATTCCAGGGTAGTGTTGGCTTAAAATCATATCTTAGTGAGGAGAGAGGGTTTCACTCTGAATGACACTAAGCAAAGTCACTTTATCTCTCTGAGTAGGTAGATTTCTCAATCCTATACTGTGAATGGCACATGAATAGTATATTCATATGTAGCCTATGGATAATATTTTTCCCTTGTCCACACTGCTTCCTTATCTAAATTACTATTATAAAATATAATCCCTTCCTGCATAAGAAGCCCTCAATCTCCATTAGTCTCAAACGGTGTCTCCCTACACACAGGCAGGAGACAGTTAACAGATACCATGCCTGATTGAATAGGCACATCATTGGAAAATATGGGAACATCACTTACTACAGTGAATGCATTTGCACTGTTTCAGAGTTCTAAAGCAAACATTTTTTTTTTCTCACAAAAGAGAATGTTTCCATTTCTACAGTTCTGATTATTTTAATTTTGACCCTGACAATAAGGCTACAATCAAGCACTTTATCTTTTTTTGTGTGGTATGTACTTTGATTTCTACTCCAGTAAGAGTTTTCTTTTACAGGAAAAGGGAACTCTGATAGTGGTTGCTGCTTGTAATTTCAGCCTTAATATTCTGAGAATTTAGATTTGCCATTAAGTCACAAATCCTATTTCTAATTTCTTTTTAGAAATTAAAAACAAGGCCTGTCCAGCATATTTTGCTTTTAAGACAGTAGCCATAGGGTTGCATTTCCTCTATAAAACCCTCCCTCTTATGAGAAAACAAGGGCTCTTGTTCATTATTTACTTTAAAGAAGCTAGTGTGAATTAAGTCATTTCCTATGCTGTTATCATTTGCTCAAAGACCTTTTGCAATGGGTCTTATGCAAGAAGAAATGCAGGAGCTGCTTTGGTGAAGTTTATTTAAAGTAACCATTAAATACAAGCTAGACCTGACCTGCAGCATCATTGTGTATGAGGAAACAGGGTCTATAAACGCATCATTTCTTTCAGATTGACAGAAAGATGGCAATAATAAGTGAAGAAGAACCTAAACGGTGGGGTCTCAGCGCTACTTCTTTGGCCTCACCTCTTACCTTCATTGTCCTCCAGACACGGTGCCGTCTTTCCCGGTCCTTTGCTTTGCCACATTCCTTTCTTAAGGTCTTTGCCTTTACTCGTCTCTCTTCCTGAAACTCCTTCCCCAGATAGGCACAGGTCTGGCTCGTTCTCATCCTTCAGATCTCTGCTCAAATGTCACGTACTCGGAGAGGTCTTTCCTGGCCACCCTCACTAAAACAGCACACCGCCTCCTCACTTACTACTCCTTTACTTCGTATTGTTTTCCTTAATGGCAATTATACCAGCACAGAATCCATTTAAATCATTTTTGTTGCTTTATCAGAATACGAGCTCCAGTATACATAGCATCCTTTGGGGCCTACAGCCTGGAACTTCTAGTAGAGGCTCTGTAAATATTTGCTGAAAGAATGAATGAAACGCTTAGTGGAAGTTGGTTCCCCTCCTTCGCCCGGTCTTGTCGTCAAAGGCAATTGGGCTCTTCACCCCGCCCTTAACCCCATTCTTGCAGGGGGTGACAGATCGGAGTCAGGCGCACCGGATTGCACTGGCAGGAAGCGGGGCGCGTGAACGCGTTTCCCCCAAACTCGGCGCTCCTTCCTTAAGGCCTAGCGGCCTGGTCTTGGGAAGAGCAGGTCTGCCGTACCCGGAACGTGGAAGCGAAAGCAGAAGGGGAACAGTGCGCGCGGGAGGGCAAAGTCTCAGCGCAGTACCAGGCTGCGCGCAGCGGCACCTTCCCCCCGGGGCTGACTCATTCCCAGCCGCCTCCACGGAAGACTCCGCGGCGGCCACACTTAGCTGGTCTGGGGAGGGCAGGGCCCGGCGCCGGCCCCGAGCTCTTGGCGGCCCCGGGACCCAGCGAGTGCACGCCTGCTCAACTTCCCCCCTGGTCACGCCCAGGACCGCCCCAGGAGTCTTCGCGCGCGCCTGCCGGCTTCCGAGAGGCCGGGTCCTGCGTGGCCGTGGCTCTGGGTAGGGTGGCGCACGCGCGCAAGCGCAGTCCGGGGCCGCGCGCCTCTTGCCCGCCCCGCCCTGCTGCAAGGCGGCCACAGTCCGACGAGGACAGGCCGCCCGCCTGGGGCCCTACTTCGAGGCAGAGCCCGACACAATTAGGGCGTCCGAGCCAGAGTCGTCTACGCGTTGGGAAGACGGTGCGGCCCAGCCGAGGGTGGAGACCGCACTGTGACGGGCTTCCGAGGTGGGAGTGGTGTGGCTCGAGGAAGGCGAGAGGAAGAGGAGCAGAAGGGGGCAGCAGCGGCCGCCGCTAACGGCCTCCCTGGGCGCTGACAGGCTGGGCGGGCGCCCGGCTGGCTCACGAGTTCGCGCTCGGCGCCCGGGCCCGGACTTTCGGCGCGCGTCGGAGAGCTGTGGTCACTGCGCAGAGAGAAAGGCCCGGTCCTCGCCTCCTAGGGATGTGAGTGGGAGCCGAACCCTCTCGGGAGGGCCGCGGAGAGCCCAGCCTGACAGACCCTCGGACCCGCGCGCACTCCGGGAGCTTCGCAGTCCTCGGCGGGCTGCAGGCGCCCGGTGGGAGCAGCCTCTGCGGGCTGGGCGCGCGTCCTTGTGGCCCGATCCTTGCAGCAGGTGGGTGTTACTGCTGCCTGGTCTCTCGGTCGGGGACACCAGTTGTCTGTCCACCCTCTTCGCACTTTCTGATCCTCTCTTTTCCCCTGCTAGTGACTATGAAGTTCTTAGCTAGAAAAGCTTCTTCTTTAAGGGGAAATCTACAAGGGCGTGTTTTGCTGTTGATATTTGCATCCAAGGGTACCTGATATCCACATCCGCAACCCCCCTCACCCCTCTTTAAAATTTTCTAGACATCTAAACAACCTAGAAAAGAGCATCTATTTTCCCTGGATTTCTGCGACAGTAACTACTGATTTTTTTTTTTTTTTTTTTACAGGTTTCAGAAGCAGGCAAGGGAACAAGATGTGAACTGTTTCTCTTCTGCAGAAAAAGAGGCCCGTTTTCCCCTTGCCGCGACGGTAGGTCTGCGATCCTGACTGCTGTCCTTTATCTCTGCAGTGAATGCGTGGTGTTGCGGGCTGTGAGTGTGTGCGTAGGAAGGTCGGAAACGCGTGTAGACAGGGCTCACTGTTGCTACTCTGAAAAATGGCACTGAGGAATTTCTAATGTTGATCTAGGAAAGTAATTTGGCGTGTTTATCGTTGCTCTTGGGTCGTTTAAGAGACATTCATTGCTTCTCTGATGAGAAAATGTCAATTATGATTCTTTCTCCTACCCTTGCAGCCAGAGATTCTTAATATTTCAAAGAAGAACGTTTTCAAGTAATGAGAGATACCTATTGAGAAAACACGTTAGCTGTTCTTGCTGGGGTTTCTGCTACCACATTGAGTGCTTCCTGGATGGTTTTATCTGCTTAAGTTTGCTGTGTCGGTTGAATTTACCCAGTTTGCTTTCCGGTGGTTATTAATCTGTCAGGAGAAACTCTTTCTCTGAATGAAAGGATAGAAGTGGCTGTGTCATAGAGGGGAGGAGAAATGTGGAGAAGGAAACAAAGTGGGAATAAGAGATGACGATGGCTTTTGGTTTCATAATAGGTTTGTACAAGTGAGATTCTGTGCTACTGCAAATATTCTGATATAACACCCAGCACATTTGAAGATGAATAATCAACTTTTGGCTTCCTTTTCCCCACCCCCTACACCTTTTACCACTTCAAAAATCACTTGCTTGTATGTGCACATTCTGTTAGTGTGTAACATACCTGCAAACTGGATGTGTCTGGCACTTGCCTTAACAGTATATATATTTACCTGTACTGGAAAGCTGCAGTACTTGCTCCCTGGGTAAGCTCATTATGCTTGTTTTTGCTCTAACCGAATGTCCTGTATTTGGAGTTTATAGCATAAACTGTAGGGACCAGTTAAGGAATAGTTTTATTTTATTTTATTTTATTTTATATTTTTTTGTTTTTCAAAAATTATTTTATTTTATTTTATTTTATTTTTTTGAGAGGGCATCTCTCATATTTATTGATCAAATGGTTGTTAACAACAATAAAATTCTGTATAGGGGAGTCAATGCTCAATGCACAATCATTAATCCACCCCAAGCCTAATTCTCGTCAGTCTCCAATCTTCTGAAGCATAATGAACAAGTTCTTACAT